AAACCTTCCCCATGCAAGGATGACCGATACGTAGCCATCCTCATTTAAAATTGATTCAAAATCAAAAGATCTGTTATTTCTCCTTTGTATGAAATACTAAATTTGCTGCTGTTACAAATTGAAAGTCATAATGACATACGAGAGTTATAAGATATTTTCTGAGAATAAAAGAACTCCATGTAAAAACAGGTCGCCGGTGGCGATGGATAAATTTCCGTCGAGGTTTCATTGTCGGCGGCGACGGCGAAAAATCCGCGGCTATCATCTCTAGTCATAATTACATTGGTAGAAAATTGTAAAGTGTTTTGCATCAATGATTATGCTTCTGTCTTATGCATCTCCGTTCCTTTTTTCTTTTCTCTCTTCTCTATCTTTTTCTATCATTATCTAAGGATTTGCGAGTCTTACATTCACTAGAATAAATTAAAAAAAAGAGTTATTCTGCAGTATGAAGATTTCAAATCTGAATTCTCTTAGAAAAGCTAATCGGATCCAATGTAAGATTAGTTTTCATCGCAATAATCTAGTAATACAAATATCAAAACATTGCTTTCTTCTGTGATTATCAATTTTGTTCTACTTACTTCAGCGTATGAAAATGTTTCTTGTATAGGTCTTTGTTCCTTGTCTTAAAGTGGCAATTCGTCTCTTCACTGTAACTCATGTCGGCTGTACCCACGAAAAAAGTTTTGCACAAAAAAGCGTTCTAACATAAACTTCCAAAATTTTTTGAGTTTAAACGCATTGTTTTTTTTTATTGTAATCCGTTCAAATACATCGTTTTTTATTTGTCATGCATTTCAATGTATTGATTTTTATCTGAAACTCATTTTTCAATTTAAAATACCACCGAAAAATACCGTTTTAACGCATTCATAAGAAATGTGCCTTTTGTTCTCAATCAATGCCATTTAATATACCTTTCGAACGCGTTTTTTTTTAGTGTTCATTTACTGAAAAAATCGAATTTTTCATATATGTACTAGAATGCATTTTTTTAATGCGTTTTTTAATTAGAAAACAAGGTTTTTTTTACAGACCGTATTCTGAGTGAAAATGCAGTTTTATGAATTGAAATTTGTAATCATTAATTGGAAACATTTTGCAATATCAGACTCCAAAATATATCGCTTAAATAGATCTGTTATAGAGATGAGTTTTATGAATATTATGTAATAGAGAAATAGTTGCGTAACAAAACAAAACAGATACAGATGAATCAGAACATGATTAACTTGACTAAAAAATTTCTTAGCCAAGTTTGAAAAGCTGTAGATAAGATGATATCGAGATGGCAACTCAGTGAATGTTTTTTTGTGCAACGACTCGATATATGTTGTCTTTTCTAATTTTTAACGAAATTTCTAGTGATTCATAGTGAAATATTATTTTTATGACATGTTCAATACATTCAAAATGGTTAGATTTGAATAGAATAAAAAACTTCGTGTTTTTATCATCTTCACAATACTTAACTCAAAATCTTTTTAGTTATTAATTATTTATATAGACTATTGAGGAATGTTAGTTGTTCTATTTCAAATAAAATCTCGAATACTTTACACTTCTACATTTTTCTTTCTACAATTTTAGTTTTTAATATTTATAGTTTTCGATATTTTTACTTTCAGCATTTCTCTTCTCGACATTACTTCAGAGAATTAAGAAAAAAAAACACATATCTCCAACGACTTGTTGCATTTCTACAACTTCTCGCAATGTCATCGACTACAGCACAAGCCATCTTGAATGTCGTTCATCTGTATATCATATACGTGTTTTCAATTATTTTAATAGTTGGCCTTGTTGGGAATGTTTGTAATATTGCCATCTTTACTAGCCTAAAAAAGTTTCGAAAATGTCCTGCTGCATTCTATATTATTGCTGAATCCATGGTCAATCTCGGCATTTTACTCATTGCTACAACCTTACGCATTACTGAAGAAATATTTAACTTGGATTCAGATCGTATATCGTTTATCTGGTGTAGATTACGATATCCAATCAGTCAATGGTGTATACTGATGCTTCTGTCTTTGGTTAGTTTTACAGTGATCGATCAATATTTTTCCACGAATTGTAATCCTCGCATTCGACAATTGAGTACTGTCAAGTTAGGAAAATATCTTACTGCTATTGTAGCCATTATTTGGTTTTTCTACAAAATTCCATTTGTCATCTTTTATGATATCAAAGCTCCATTTGGTTGTCTTATCAACAATATAGTTTTCGTTCGATACTATTCATTTTTTCATTTGCCTATTCTACATGGAATCTTACCAATGACTCTAACATTCACATTCAGTGTAATGGCCTATCGAAATGTTCGACGTATTCGTCGACTACAAATGAGTAATACTCGACGACGACTTGATCAACAGTTGACAGCTATGATACTTGCTAGAGTGATACTTTTTATTCTTTGTCTTTTACCTTATATTGCACAATGTTTCTACATTATGAATGTACGGAATGATAAAAATGAAAAACTTCGAACGGCAATTGAGTTGCTCATCGCAGCCATCAACGTCTCGATTAGCTATTTCAATGTTTCGGTATGTCATTTGAGTTGTTATTGTAATTTCTTTGATCTTACTCATAGTTTAAAATTCTTAGGGTACATTCTATGTATATCTGATTTCATCGGCACGATTTCGTCGTCAAGCAAAATTTGTTCTGATGAAAAAATGCTGGAAATATCGTCGAGACATACCAGAGAATCGTCGTCGATCATCCATGAATAAGCAAGAAGCACTGATCGCAAATAGCGACGTCAACTATTTAGATTGTTAAAGATAGACAAAGTCAAGTTTGACCAAACTAACAAGGGATCAGAAGCCATCCACATACACCACTACGTTACACAAACTGGTACTTTTGCAAACTAACATATTATATATTCAATATATTTTTCAATTGTTTCTAGTCTAATAATTAGTAGTTCTAAGCTTAAGAGAATATGTTATTGCCTTGTGTTGATTAAAACGAATATTAGAATTTTTTTTGTTTTTGGATGCTAGATCAGTAACACGTCGGGTGACTTGATATATGTCTGTAATTGTTAAGAAATCAATTACATTATATGTACAGCCTGAATGAAATATAATAATAATGTAATTCAGATAGAATAATTCTAGCATCTGAATTAATAACCCTTGATAAACCGGAAAATCTCAATGGTTAATTTTATCTACCATTGCTATAAATTTCATAGTCTTATATTCTGTCTTCTTGATCTAGCCATGTATTTAAAGTATTTTTATTTTATAGTCAAACGTGTTTGAGAGTTCCAAAAATCTAGAAAATACTGAGTGCTGCCTCCGTTAATAGTACGCACCTGAACAAACCATCATAACAGCAGTGAGAGCATGGGACACTAAAAATACATGAGTACGAAGCTGACGACATGGGTGTGGATGTACGTATTGGTGTGTGCATTCTGTTTCTCTACACTCACACCAAAAATCGGCCCATAGCCTCTTTCAGTCTTTTCTTTATTAATCTCCGCCCTATCATCCTCCCCGGGTTAGTTTCCTGTGAAGAAAGTCTTTAATTAAAATATGAGCTATCCAATGCAATCTTTTATGCTGGTTCCGAAAATCATGTATATTTGCACCAGAATTGACTATTGATAGTTAAAATGTCAAAATACAGTATTAAAAAAGGGAAATTCATGTAAAAATTGGTCGAAGTTTCTGAATCCATCGCAATTTAGGTCATTACGCACAAATGTTGAAGAACTTTCAATTAGTGCGTTTTGTAGTGCTAGATCACAGACAATTTCTAAGAAAGTTTCACATGTAGTCACATCTTCTATGATCCTCGGTATTGAATACATTGACACTCATCATAAGGAAAACAACGGTTCTAAATTGTTGAAAAACCTCACTTTTCCTATCAAAAGTAAAATGATCAGAGACATCAGGTATATGAACTTGTAGTCCGTGAAAAATTTCACAAAATTGTATAGAAAAATATTTTTTTATCGATACTTTTGACTGATACCAAGAACCGTAATAATCTGTAACTGATCATATTTTATGTGATAGCAGCGGACTCTAGTTTCCGAAAAGTCTTATGAAAATAAGATTATCTATATAACATTCGACGCATCTTAACTTGCTCTACAAGTTGATATATTTGGTTTCTCAATTCTGAATAGATTACTTTATCTGACTGGATCCTTTCAAATAAAACCTTTGCTAATAAAATAATATCTCACTTCCGAGGCAGCTGATCGTTGAAAGAATTAAAAGCATGTAACAAGTAATTAAATCTGATAATGAATTAATCAACTGCTTCATTTCAAGAAAAGAGATCTAATGCAATTCTTTGACTTTGTTTATGCAATACCGATAAACATAGTCAATTTCTTCAGTTATCTGTTTTTTCTAAATGTTGTTTATAAAGAAAAAACAAACATGGTGAAATTTAATCGTGATAAATATGCAACGTTCCATATACTAATTATCATAACTTGAAAGGAATGGAGATGTTAATATAAATATCAAGATATCTATCTTCCATATATGGACATGAAAACAAGAAAATTAAGTACCAAAAACCTAAGCTCACAATATATAGTGTAGTTAAAAAGATGCCGGTAGGTACAAAACATGGAGAGTAGACTAACACTCGTGCCTATACTCATCCCAGCAAGCATTTTAAATCATAAAAATATGATAAAATAAAGATATTTTCATTGCTTTTTCAACAGTCAAATTTATATCTTTTTTTTAAATTTTTTTATTGATCTTTTCTAAAGTTTAAAAATGTTTATAATTATTTACTGGATTATATGTGTTGATCAGTGAAATTTACACTATTGGAAAGTAGTAGCTTCATATTATATTTGCAAAAGAAATTCTCTGTAACAGTGAGTAATGGTTTGCGCAAATATCGAAGATCATCAAGAGAACGAGTAAAGAAACGTTGATATGATATATGAATACACGTGTTTACACCTTTCTTGATACTCATTCTGTTTTTATTTGTGTCACATGGCTAGTAATGATGAATATGAAATGGCTCTAATCGAGAATGAGATAGATGCTCATTTATGTGCTAAATTAATTGCCGAACAATTTCCTTTACACAATTGTTTGTCGGCTTTTAATCAATCAACACCTGAAAAATCATTTGATGAATGGGTTTGGCCATCATTGATCAATGTACTTGATGAAAAATTATCATTTCTTATACGACATCGTCCAACGAATGAAATTGTTGCAGTAATCATAGCCGGTGATCTCTTTTTAGAATGTAAAAATCATCCATATGATGTTTCTACTCCTGCATCTTATAATCCACTTATAGATTTATTTGACGAAATGCTTGATCACTTTGTCCATCATGATTTTGACCAACAATTAAAACCGAATATGATTTTATTTATTTCAGTTGTTGTAACAAAATTTAAACACTCAAGTAAAGGTTTAGCTGCTCAATTAAGTACTCATATATGTGATTATGCACGAGATACAAAAGGATTTCAATATGCATTTGTGCAAACATCGAATTCAGCAACACGCCATATCTATGTTAAAAAAATGAATGGAAAAGAAATGACAATTATTGATCCAGCAACTTGGTTATGGAAGAAGAAAGATGATGGTTTATCACGTCCATGTAAAGATTATGAAGGTGAGCCTGTTGTTAATATTCTTATCAAACTGAACCAACGAAAATAACTAATATAGATCAGAATTGGTTTTGTTTTTTTAAATGCTTCTTATAGAATATCAAAACTTCATTAAAATAAAACTCTGATATATCCCTCAATATTATAGTTCAGAAATTAATTTGATTGAACATTCAAAAGCTGTGAACTCATTGATAGATAATTATTTTCAAACTTATTTATTTCGAACATTTTATTAAATCATATTCTCTAAATAACTATGTTATTATGATCAAAAGAACACTAGTGTAGAAATTTTTAATTCTTTACAAGTTTTCAGCTATCCTGTGGCTGCCACATCAGGTACTGTAGAGTTTAAGAAAAAAGTGAGCTTGTAATCATTGAATTCATCGTCTATGTTTTATTAATAAGCTCTGCGGCTGGCTAAGGAATGTACTCCTTAATCCCTCAATATTCGAGATCGGACATCCGAGCGTTATACATAGACTTTCCAGGGATTCTCGGGACGCTCTGAAATTTATCACAGAAGGTCTCCAATGAGTTCCGTAGCATTCTTTACGACGTCACTATGGATCATCATGGATTCTTAGTCAATATTCAGAGCTCACGTGAGACCTCGAGCGAATCCTTATCTAATCTACAAATGATCCTAGGAAGATCTTCAAGATATGCTGTCGAAGTCTTCAGGGAATCTATATAAGATCTTTGGAGTCCTCAAAGTATGCGAATTATAAACTCTTAATAACTCTTCGAATTTTACACGTATGGCAATTCTTGTCGATTGTCATTGGTTCGTTTGTAGTCTTATTGATTTCATATAATACCTTGTCATTATTTTTTTATTTTCAAATTTCTAACATATTTCAAACGAGAAGACATGTAGATTTACTTGACATATCTACTGCACGTAATGTAGCTCAGACATTGAGAAACAGTTCAAACTTTTACTTCAGCCAGAGAATAAAAAATATACTGTTATCAAAAACGAATAATCAGCAGCATCACCATGTTGATGGAAGATATTTGCATTTTCAACTCAATTAGATGAAACTAATCAATAATAATAAATCTTAGAATACATTAATTACTTCGAGTATTTCCAAGTATTTTTATTATCCTGCTCAAACTGGAACAACACATTCAAAAGAACATCGACAAAAATGTGTCAAAATCATGTCTCTTTCTTCGTTATCTTCTTCTGTAATAATTGACCAGCTGAGTTATTTGATCATCAACAAAATCGTGTCAAGCACAATATGGATTCAAAATATCCTCAAAACTAAATCAAAAAAATTTGCCTAATATTAAACAACAATATACACGAAAGTTATTTACGACCCACATCCAAATACATTTTTCCTCTGACTTCATATATGCTCTACACATTTACTTTTTCTATTTAAACGATCAAAGCCAAACATTAAAAATGTCACTGCTCACTTAATGACAAGTGATGAACGTATCAATCCAGAGAATCTATGAGAATATCAAAATATA